GCGTTTGACAGTGTTTAATTTTCTGCTTAGATTGTCATTTTATAATGGTAAATTATGTTAATTAATTTAGGAATGTACTTCACTTTTTTACGTTTCTTAATCAAAAACACTCATTTAATTGATTTCATTAATTTTTCCTGATTGAATATACTTGGCTGTGAAGATATTTAAATTTGAATGGATTTGGTTATATTTTCCATTTGGTTTTGTTCTGCTTAAGAAAATGTTTTTGTGTTGTTAATATAATTGCGTTCTTTGGATTTAAGAATATTATTTTTTTCATTCTGTTCCCAAATATTATGTTTTGTAACTTCATTTTGGTTGTTATTTATTATTTAAAAGTCAATTTCTTTACTTTAATACTGAGTTATAAGATACGGTTAAGCGTTACACAGCATGTCTAATTACCACGTAATGGGGATTGTTTGGGAAATCTTAAATACAGAACTAACCAGTGAGGAAAGTAGTAAAGTCGGGCTGGGCCGACTACATGAGGGTATCATGGACCCTTCTTTGGATATATTCTACATATGCGTATTAACATGAAATTGAAGGAATTTAAATATGCGATCTTTAACTATAAGTGAACATACTAACATCAATCCATACACATGCCTTTTTGCAAACTATGCTAAATTTCATTTCACTCGAGTAGATTTAAAAACAAATTAATATAAATCGATTTATATGTCTCCATATTAAAATACGTCAATTAGATACGTTGTGCAAATTTTGTTTAACTAAGATCCGACGAAAATATATAGATGGAAGCTATATTTAAATCTGAACCGATTTCGAAATAAAATTAAAATAATTCATCCAAGATTCATCATTACGCTGTGCAAAATTTCGTGCAAATCGAAAGATATATAGGGACTTTGATTAAATCAGTCGAACATGCATCTAAATCTAAATCAGAACTGATTTTTACCAATTTCAATAGGGTGCATCCTTCTACCGAATAAGTGACATATTCATTCAATTCGGATCATAAATGCGACCTGTACTTTGATTACAATTTAACATGAACAGACAGTCGAACGGATGGACATGCATAAACCGACTAAGAAAGTGATTCTATGCATACTCTCAAAAGGAACCACGGGTCTATCTCGTTTCCTGTTGCCTGTTACAAACATATTCACAAATACAAAATACTTTGTACCACAGTGTGGTGAAGAGTATAAAAATCAAATGGTAAAGACCAAAAACGTATGAATAAATTGTGTAAATAATATACACGCCATTTTATGCTAAGCCTGGTACACTGTACATATTATTATTTTATTATTATTATTTATTAGTCTATGGATATTTTCCTTACAGACTATATAATACAAAATGTTATACTTAATTTCATGAATTTAAATATATTACAATTTTACTTTTCAATGCTTCAAGATTCATAGAAAAATCAATAAGATTATATAATTCATTAAAATCGTTAGACATTATTGTTAAGGGATCTGCATTTGAATAATTCATTCTAGAAAATTGAATAGCTAGTGGTACATAATTGCGAGCTCTTTGGGGAATATTGAAACAAATGTTGTTGATCCAGCATTAACGTCACCCATTATTAAATTAAAAATAAATGATACATTCAACATTTTCCTTAGGCTTTTTAAAGTTGGCAGCTTGATGAGGGAAAGTCTATCTGTATATGATGGAAGATTATAATTCGAGAAGTTTAAGTTCCGTAAACAGAAAATTAGAAATTGCTTTTGAACGGACTCGATGCGATCACTGTGTGTAATATATATAGGATCCCATATGATCGAAGAGTATTCCAATATAGGGCAAACAAGCGTTGTATATAATTTTTTTGTGACATAAGGATCCATGAACTCTTTACTCCACCGTTTAATAAACCCATGCACGGACTTTGCTTTGTTTATTCTTACTGAAATGTGGGAATTAAAATTCAGTTTACGATCCAAAAGAATTCCTAGATCCACAAACTCATTAACTTTTTCCAGAGAGTAGCCGTTAAGTGTATAATCAGTATCAATTAACCTCTTTCTTGTAAATCTCATGAGTTTGCATTTCGAGTAATATATTTCCATAAGGTTCATATTACACCAATTTGTAAACGAATTCAGATCATGTTGTAACAAATCATTACTTGAGATGTCTGAAAAACTGAGAAATAATTTCACATCATCGGCATACATCAAGATATATGAGATATAAGGCAATTAACATGATGGTAAATGTTATCAGTTATGATTTTTTCAAAGAGCTTTGGAATTATACTTAATTTTTCAATTCCACGATAATTAGCAACATCGGATTTATTTCCATTTTTAAATAGTGGAATGATATATGACGTTTTCCATTTGTGAGGAAATACAGTTTGATTAATCGAAGCGTTAAACAGCATAGTTAAAGGTAAAACAAAAGCTTCAGCACATTTTATTAGAATACAACTTGGGATCTTATCAGGTCCAAAATCATATCCATATTTTCAATGCTTCAATCCATTTAAAACCATTTTACTATCCCACAGAGTAATTGATATTGATTGGTTAGAGTTCAATTCAAAAGGGTATGTTGTTAGAATCAGGGACGTACGCAGGCGGGGGGCCCGGGACCCCCAGAAATTTTTTTCTTTAAGTAAATTTAGTTCTCCAACTGAATTTTTTAATTTTATTAAAATTCATATATGTTGCCTGATTAATTAATTTTTTTTCTTAAAATAATTTTGTTTAATTGTTGAATATACTTACATCTATATGTGTTTGAAACATTAACTTCATAAAAACGTAAATGGAGTTTTCCGTTCTTGGAGTGGGTAATGTGAAAATAAAATATTATAATAATAAAATATTGTGCTTGTGTTGGCATCTCTGGTGAAAGCTTGAATACAAATCAATTCAAAAAGAAAAACCATTCAAGTGTGTCGAGTGTTAGTTGTGACGTGAGTGTCTTAAAATTTTTAATTATTTGTTACATAAAAATGAAAAGAACTCAGTGTAAAACGTTGGATAATTACTTTTCAAAAAGACCTACGGTAAGTACATTTTCATGTAAAATTACTTTTTAATTTATATTTTTGTAATTGTCCATTTCTTCTGTATGAATGTATAATTTCTTGAGGTTTTTGTTTACCTCAGATGTGGTTGTAAGCAGCATCAGGCAAAGCCCTGCTAGCGTGCTCTCTTTGACAGCAATTTGCGTGAAAAGAGCGTAAAAGCGGCTCTCTGCCTGTTCCTGTTGTAAAGAGAGCTGAGAGTTCGCGAGAGGGAAAGCTCGATACACAAAAAGCTCAAACCAATTCACCTCGCTCTCAGAATAAGTGTTTTTTATGTTCACCTCTTTGTTTACATATTTGCCAAAATCCGTTACAATTTAGTGTGATGACAGGGTTGTCAACTTAACATTTTGTGATCACTATTATGGGACTTTTATTTATTAGAGATGGACAGTGGGTAAATACCCAAAAGGTAAATACTCGGTAAATTTGGTAAATACCCGGTAAATTGAGTAAATACCCATTTTTGGGTATTTACTATATTGAATAGGTAATACAACATCTTACACCCTATTTCCGGGTTTCTGTTATCAAATCGATTTGGAATGGATAGTTTTACGATACTTTAAAGACGTGGGTAAATACTTGGGTAAATACCCGAGTTTTTACCCAAAAATTGGGTATAAACTCATTAACTGCCGAACCACTTGACATTTTGCATACACGTTTTTAATGTCAAACCAAATATAGAAATCCAAAATGTGGCCCCTGGGTCCAAGTTTTGATATAGCCCCCATTTAATCCCGATTTAAGGTATTTTTTGTCTATTAGACACATTTTGCGATCAAATTTGGTGCAATGAGATATCTTTTTGCACAACATATTCATGCGAAATGTCGTTTTTGACAAAATGTATGCAAAATTTTGGCCGCCTATGTCAAGTGATTCGGCAGTTAATGAGTTTATACCCAATTTTTGGTAAAAACTCGGGTATTTACCCACGTCTTTAAAGTATCGTAAAACTATGCATTCTAAATCGATTTGATAACAGAAACCCGGAAATAGGGTGTAAGATGGTGTATTACCGATTCGATATAGTAAATACCCAAATAAATACCCGCAAATGCGTATTTACCCACCCCTTGGGTATTTACCCGGTAAATACCATCTCTAAATATGTCGTTAGTGATTAACTAAGATGGTCTATCATTGTATAAATAGACATATATCCAAATTTCTACATAAAAACATTACAGTAATCTTTGACAACGTATAGGGTACATACAACAGTATTCCTATCTTATATATCGCCTTTTCAATGCTATTGAATTAAATTTAAAATTCTTCTAAATTGTCGGCATGCCATATTGTTATAGTTGGGAGCCCAAATTAGCCCAAGACATAAATTATACATTTGTTTATATACTTCAATAAATTATTATCAACTAATTGCTGTGAACTATATTAATTTGGCCTTTTTTCCATAATTTCAAATTTATGGCAAATGCTTTAAATTAATTTTATGATACGTTACTTACTGAAAGTACAGCAGTTAAATGACGAAGCTGCATCTACTTCAAAATCTGCAACTACCATTATATCTGGTTCAACTCCAATGGATTTTTTTGATCGTGATGATGAATCCCCAATTAATTGTCGGAGTGAAGTCCATATGTTTGACATTGGTCAATATGTTGAAACCCATATTCCGGACGACTTGAAAAAAAATCTATATTTAAATACATGGATTCCACACTCAACCTATGAATTTGAGCCACAAATAAAAAATGGAAAAAAGAGAACTTTTCAAATAAAATGGTTCGATAGATTCACGTGGATCGCATATTCAGATTTAGCAAAAGGTGCTTTTTGTAAAGTCTGCATATTATTTTCACATAAAGAAGGGTGCGGAAAGGGCAACCATCAAGTCCCAAAATTACTTCTGTCGCAACCTTTTAAAAATTGGAAAGATGCTATTGAGTGCTTTACGACCCACGAAAAAACGGAATACCACAAAGATGCCATGATGAGGGCTCAGGAATTTATAGCAAGAATGAAAGATGTTTCAAAACGTATAGAATATATTGTGGACCAACGAGCTTCCGATAAATTGAATGAACAAAAGTATAAAGTTAAAGTGGTCATTGAGACAATTTTATTATGTGGAAGGGAGGACATCGCCTTAAGAGGAAGCAACGACTCCGGAGTACTGTCTTTAGACGTAAATAATCCAAATGAAGGAAATTTGAGAGCGATGTTGCGATATAGAGCGAATGGGGATGAAAATCTTAGAAAAAGTTTGGAGAATACGCCCAAAAATGCAACATACCTGAGTCCTAGAATACAGAACGAGCTAATAGAAATAATTGGAGAATACATCCAGATGTCTATAGTTGAAGAAGTGAAAAGAGCTGTGTTCTTTTCGGTTTTAGCGGATGAAACTACAGATATTTCCGGAAAGGAGCAGCTATCAATATGTATTCGATTTTTCGATAAGGCATCTAATAAAATCAAAGAATGTTTCCTTTCCTATGTGGAAGTAGATGGATTAACAGGAAAAGAATTATCAACCATCATAATAAACACAATAATCATCCAAACTTTTTGAGAGGTCAAGGATATGACGGCGCGGCTAACATGTCAGGCAATTACAATGGAGTGCATACCATTATTAAATCAAAATTTTCTTCTGCAGTATACATCCATTGTTCCTCTCACATTTTAAATTTATGTCTAAATGCAGCTTCGAAGATTCGAGAAATTCGAACTATATTTTCTACAATTTCGGAAATTTGCTCATTCTTTCGAAAATCTCCAAAAAGGTCTGGTACTTTATGTAGAATATTTCGAGAAGCAAATAAATCTTTCAAAAGACTACATTCATATTGTGAAACACGATGGGTTGAGCGGCATGATTGCGTACAAATATTTAACGAATCTATAGAAGAGATAATAGAATCCTTGGAAGAAATAGGGGAAAATGGTAAGATTTAGTTTGGACTTATTTTTAATAAATAAGTAGTTCATAGTTCTTATTACATATATCTATAGTATTAATCGTATCTCAACCCCTATACAAATATTATGTATTTTAAAAATTAATATTAACCTATGAAATTATACATCTGTTTTCAGGTTGTTGTGATGCAGTTAATTTTCATCACAGAATTGTAAAATTCGATTTTTTTATTAGGTAACATCTCGCTTACTTGAGTACACCCTACACTTGTCCCAGTTTCTTCAGAATGTTAATCTGGACATTGTCAAAGCATATGATCACATACATTTAGTAGTAGATAAGTTAAATGCTATACGACAAAATAGTGACGAGGAGTTCCACAAAATGTACATGGAAACAACAATTATTGGCGACAAATTTGGGGTAGAAGTTTCAGTGCCAAGAAGAGTTGGTACCCAAAAGTACAGGTCAAATGTAAAGACATCGAACTCTGAATCATTTTATAGAACTACATTATTTATCTCATATTTGGACGAGCTAATTGCAAATATGACAAGCAGATTTCTGGAAAATGAAAAAATAGTTAAAACATTATCAAATGTAGTGCCATCAAGAGTTATAAAATTTTCATACACAGATTTTAAAGAAATCACACAATTTTATGAACAAGATTTTCGAAATTGTAAGCAGGAAGTAGAAACTGAAGTGGATCTATGGATTACTATGTGGAAAGCGAAAGATCCCCGACCATCTAATCCACTTGATGCGATAGTAGAATGTGACGAAAATCTCTTTCCAAACATTAATATATTGTTGCAAATCTTAATAACGATACCGGTTACCACAGCATCAGCTGAAAGAAGTTTTTCTACCCTACGTCGAGTAAAAACCTATCTGAGAAATCAAATGCTCTTATGTCTATGCATAAATCTGAAGTGAATACTGATGACATATTGAACATATTTTTTCTAAAAATAGAAGACTTACATTGTAGAAATGTTTATTTCTTAATATACAATACATTTAATATATACGAAAAACCTTAAAAGTAATGAATTAATATTTTTTTGTGATCTCAATGAATATAAAATATTGCCTTTTTTAAATAAATGTTCACTTTTCTTAATACCTAACCATAGAAATATTATTTATATTTTCTAATAAACATATGCAACGTTATCGTTAAAATAATAAATATAAACAATCATCTACTTCATATTATATTTAAGGAAGAAAAAATTTTACTTTTATTCTTTTTATTTTTAGATCTATATTTTGATTTACAAGATAAGGTCTAGTAACTTATGACTGGAGTTACGTAT